CTACTCGCAAATTACGAACCCAAATTAACAACAGAACCAAGTCCCAATTTAGATACCAAGTTTATTCGTAATTCACAAGTAATCGACCAAATGTCGTTTTAATAACAATAATTATAACAATTACAAAACAAACCTTCAATTTTGTAGGTTCCCGGAGCAAAACTCCCAAATACCAAACCAAAGACAAAAGGAGCACCAAAATACCAAACCAAAGACAAACCAAAATGTCCGAAATAATGATATAAACAAACAAGTTCAAAAGTTAAGTAAAACAATTACATCCAAAAGCACAGTAAATTATTAATGTACAATAAAAGGTTTTAATCCGTCAAAAGTCTTCAGTTCTCCCGTAACAGACATATAACATGTCGAAACATCTGGATGGTGAGAACAGGTAGTCCAGATATTCAAGAAGGCCGGGCAACAGTAGTGGAAGCGCGCCAGTGCACCGTGAAACGTCTGCAGTTGGCAGTGGAGTGTCCTACTGTTGATGAAATCGTCCTACCAACCCGTTAGCTTGTGGCTGGTAGGCTGTGGTTCGGAATTGTGTGGGTCCTAGCAATGTGACAAGACAACCGAAAAGTCCAGAGTCAGACTGACATTCACAGTCTGCAGTGATAGTTGAATAGTAGTAGTGTACTTGTCTGGAGAAGAGCTTAGACAAAAGTTAAGAGGTTTATGGTCGGCAAACAGAGTAAATTATCGGCCTTACAGATTGTGTTGAGGGCGCCGTACATGACAAGGTGTTATCTACCGAAAGTTCTATACTCCGATTCACTGTCTTGCAACAGTCTAGTTGTTGTAAGTCTCTGCCGATTGCCGAGTCGGGTGTGTCAACAGTGATGCTAATGGGTGCCATGATGCCCTGATGTCCGAGGACAGTTACTGTTGTGATAACTTCCTTAACTGTGGGGAACGCGTTTTTCCCACTGTCCTCCAAACTAATGCTTCCATGAAATTTGTTCTTTAAAGGTCTCATGAGAGACGTGTGATTCAACATGAACCGTCGATAGATACTTACCAGGCCGTTGAACGTACGTAATTGCTTGAATGTGGTCGGTTTTGGGTAATTCTGAATGGCCACCACTTTCTTTTCAGATGGCGAATGTCTTGAGCATCAGTAGGTTGTCAAGAACTTTCAGGATTCGGTTCCGAACTGATAGTACTGAATGTTTACAGTAATTCCGTGTTCTTGCAGTCGTGTTGCAGTGTGTAACATTGCTGGCTACTCACGATGACTTTGATTGCGTACTTTTGAGTACTTTTTGAGTATCCGTTTGGAGTATGGGTCGATTATGCGCTTAACGGTGACTGGGGATGGTCTTCAACTAAGAAGTGAAGGTACACAAACAGATAACTAAGTATTGCCGTCTACTGATCTCCGTTTGCACGGGTCAACGGGTAGTTTATGATGCTGTAACAGGTTTATACAAATGATTGGCACAGAAACATCTGAAACAACGAAAATACGTTCAAAGGGTCTGTATAAACTCACGTTAAGACAGACATATAGCTTGCCATATGTGGCGATCGATTTCCCATCTGGCGCCTGTTAGTTGAAAAACGGTTCGTGCAGACAGTCATTAGAATTCACGTGGAGAACGCTTACTGATGCAGTGTCGACGAGATAGCGAACTGTCGTCACCACGTCAGTGACGTGCAACGGGCGGCTATACCTGCCGCTATGTTGCCGTTATTACGTGCTTGCGGAAAAGTTTCACGGAGGGATTTTCGTGTGTTACTGTTCGTAGATCGGGAAGCTTCAGCGTTCTCTGCAATTTCTAGGTGACTTACAGCACATACTCTGGTACCAACACCAAGCATAGTTATTCGTCTCTTGTGGTCCAGGAACAGATCTTTTAGGTGACCGGGAGCATCTACCATTATGATGAATACTAAGATAATGAGTGAGTGTGGCGGAAATCAGCAATGTCATCGTTTGTTGCTTGAGTTTCTTTGACAAAATAAACCACAGTGCTGGTGGTGCTGTTAGCCTTCAGAATCCGGTCAGTAGATGCAGCGAATTTGTTTACGGAGTTCGGACAAGAACCACTTACTCCTGTTGGGGAAACTTCAATAAGTAGGGCTGTCTAAAAAGGCTGTTGACCAAAGATCTCTCGCATACGTAGTAACACTTCTGTTGATCAGTCGTGTCACAACTCGATGTTGTGGAAATGCCGGTCTAACCTTTGTTGGTTAATTAGGTCTCCACGTTCAAAAGCAGCATTCTTTAAAGTGTCATGAGGTCTATAAATGCTACTAATAAACATACTAGGCGCGACGTATCTGTTAAGATCGCGCAGTAGTGCCTTCATTACTGTGACGAATTTTAATCTATTAAGGGGTCTGTTACATCAATTATAAAGGTAAGATGTACAAATAAAAAAAATCCGAGGATACAATGGTAATATCAGTGTGTAAAAATGAATTGATATACAATGACGCAACAAGGAACAAACTCACAGTTTGTTGTATGGTGTAGCAGATTACGTAAGACTCACCACTAAAAATGCCACAGCAATTCAGAGTTTGACAACACCTTAATTTGTAACATATTTATGATCGAAGGAAACCAACCGGGCCAAATTAAAAGTTAGGAATGAAGGAGTTCGAAAATGTGTTTGAAAAGTTTTCGATGTGTTGAAAAACGTATGATCTGAGCTGGCCAGTAGTCTCAAGAGATGCATAGCACAGTATACCCACTCATGATCTAGCATGGATGCATGACTGAGCGCCTTCAGCTAGTTTGTCCGGTAAAATTAACGAGATCGGAATCAGTGTCAAAGGCTCACTGAACTATTTATATTGGCAATTTATTTACAGGTGCAAATCTGTAGATTTCAGAATTTCAAGTTTGAATTTCCTTCACAATCTTCCGCCACAAGTACCATCAAACGTATTACATTTCGCTGATGATGTGAAACTTTCGAGAGAGATACGCAACCAAGAGGATATACTGGCGCTTCAAGAGGATCTGATTCGACTTAAAACTTGGGCAGATGACAACGGACCTACACCTCAAATTGTAAAGAAGTCTATCTGAGACATGTTGCAGACTACAGCTACAACTTAGACAACTCCAATTTAGAAGTATCACGAGTTGAAAAAGATTTTGAAGGCTGTTGCCCTACGATTTGAAGTCTTACATTAACTGTGACAAAAATGCCTTTCGAGCAAACCTTGCACTGGTAACATTGAAGCTCATTTTGGCCAGTTTAACGGTAGAACTTTCCACATAGTCTTCAACAGTTCCATTCGTCCCCATTTACAATGCAGAAACATAGTAATTTCTCCCTCACTCCAGGATGATAAGGATACTCTGAAATGTACCCAACGGCGAGCCACGAAATCAGTTCGGGAACTCAAATTCAAGCCTTATGAAGAGCGCCTCCAATCACTAAGTCTCTACCTGTTGAGCTACAGGAGTCGTAGAGCTGACCTTTTAATTGCTAACAGTATCCTTAACACTTCTGGACATCCCCTGAAACACCTACTCAAGTTTAACTCCAATGCAAACGTTTGGGAGTAACACCCAGAAACTGGAAATACAACTCAGCAGAATGGCTTGTAGACATGACTTCTACTCTTTAAAAGTTGTCAACTTCTGGAATTTGCTGCCGGCTGAGCTAGTTCAAATGACTTCCCGGGAGTCTTCCAAAAGGAAACTTGACCTATTCGTAAGGATTCAGGACATCTTATTATTCAGATTCAGATTTGTGTAGTAAGGACAGAAGGCCTACGGCCTGTGTTACTCCTTTTCTAGTGAGTGTCCAGTCTTCTCTTGAAAGAGTCAATTGAAGGTGCGGATACCACTGCTTCAGGCAGCAGGTTCCAAGTATTGATGACTCGGTGTGAAAACCTGTATGACACGGGTATTTTGTTCGTTCTTGGCTTTTCTACTCGCCTACTATGTCCTCTGAGGTGTCCCGATCTAGTGGGAAGGAAGAGAGAGAATAAGTTAGGTCCGAAATCATTTCTTAGTATTCTGTACATCAATATTAGATCTCCCCTTAGTCTGCGATAGGACAGAGTAAAGAGGTTCAGTTTTTCAAGCCGCTCTTTATATGATAAACCCCGGAGTTCCGGAATTGCACACGTAGCTGCCCTCTGTACCTTTTCTAGTATGTCTGAGTCACCTTTTAAACAGGGGCTTGCAGCTTGAACACAGTTCTCTAACTTAGTTCTCACTAAGGATGTGTATAATGTGGTGAACATGGTAGTATCAAGCTTAGTGAATGTCCTTTTTAAAGCCCAGAGGGTTCGAAACCCCTTAACTGCGACCTCCCGGCAATGGGCCGTCGTCTTAAGATCATTGCTCACGGTCACCCCTAGGTCCTTATGAGACCGGACTACGGGTAATGACACATCCCCTATGTTGTACGTATTAACCTTTGAATCCCGCAAGTGCATGTAGACACACTTTTCCGAGTTGATAGGCATTAGCCACTCTTTAGACCAGTTTATCATATTATTTAAGTCCACCTGGAGAGTAAATGCGTCTTTGTCTCCAGTTATAACTCGCCAAATTTTTACATCGTCAGCGTATAGTAACATTGGAGACTGTACTATACTTGTAAAATCATTAACGTACATTATAAAAAGTAAAGAACCTAGGCCGGAACCTTGGGGTACTCCACTAGGTACTGGTCTCCAGATGGAGCACTTGGAATTTACTCTTATTTTTTGCCTACGACCTACTAGGAAATCCTTAATCCATTTTAAAAGAGGTCCGGCAATACCAAGGTTTGCCAACTTCAATAGCAGTCTATTAGTTGGCACCTTGTCAAAAGCCAATTTCTTTTTCTTTTCTAACCTATTATAGCTAATATACCTAGGCCCCTACCTGGAGGTATTGGTGATCCCCTGCTGCTAGACACGGACGCCTGTTAAGCGAAAGCTTCTATTCCGTCCACAACCAATTGACCCATTTAAAGGTTTGGCTTCTCAAGGTCGTCTGGTGTCTGTGGTTTTCGGTTGTATATTTGTTTATTCTACGTCTGATGTCTAGCAAGCATGAAGGTAGGTTTTGTATACTTCTGTTAACGTCTTTGTTTGATGTGCTGAAGTGTAGAATGCTTTCCAGTTTATAGATATTAAGGCCTCATGGCTATGACTTAATAATAGCCACCCTTCAATTTACTCCCACTGATATTTATATATATAATATTTATGTATTATATGTGCGAAACTACCCAGATAACGCTTTGCAGCTCTGTGAGCGATAATAAATATTTTTAGCGTTGAAGGTCTGGGTTTTGTGGTCGTACTTAAGACTTCAATATATTAAATTTAAACTAATTAATTAATAATTGTTAGTGTATCTCCACGTAGATAGCGTTTTCAGTTCTCGTCAAAATGGGGTTAAATACCTAGACTTGTTGTGTAAGCTGGTTATCTGGATGATATCTCTTCACATTTCAACGACTTTAACACTTTTGTCTCCCATGACTTTTATTTAGCTCTTAATATTACGTTTAGAGTATTTGGTATCGGGATAAGCTAAAAAGCCTTTTCCCCTCAGGTTTGTTTAGCCTATGATGAATACTGAAAATTGTCTAAAGGTTGTATATAGTTGTTTTAAAATCACTTGGTACTACTAAGCTTCTGTTAATCGAACTTGCATTAAAAATCAAGCGTTAAATAAAGTGCTACTAGATATTGTCTAAGATATTTTGCCCACAAGTTATGTAACTAGTTAACTTTTATCTCTCTCAGAAGTGTCTTGGCGGATATAATTAAAATTCGATATTTCTACTCCAAATGTGTGGCGCATATATATTTGGTGCCCTCTTGTACCAATGTTTATGTGTTCAAATAAGTAAATAATACAAACTCCTAATGCCGATTCATAGTCGACTTATACATAGGTCAGTCAGTCAGCTATAACGTAGGACCAGGCACATATGCATCGGTCCAAGTTGCAACAACTCATTAGTAAAACAAGATGAACACCGAATTCATAGTCGTTACTTCAATGAAAGTAATATACAAAAAGAAAGATTGCATATAAGGATATAGTACAGGAAGGAAGACTTAGTACATAGAAAGAAAGATATAAAGCAATTTTAATCTCATGGCTTAAGTAATCGATTCGGAAATATGGCACCCAGAGTCCCAACCATTGTTTATGATAGTCATGCGGACCCTAACCAAGTAGTCTGCATATGCCAACACGGATCAGATTAGAAGTTAGTGACTTCAGACACTAATGCCACGTTTTGGTTTGGCCGCCCCTAACTTTCTTCCAACCATTGCGCGTCGTGGTAATCGGTGTTCAGGCATATGTAACACGTGACCCAACCATCTCAGTCGATGAAGATTCACAACCTCATCAACTGATTTACCATCATTCCCTAATACCCTGTATCTAACCCTCTCGAAATGCTCTCACATGGCCACCCGTATATAGCCTCTGCCAGGGAAGTCTTACTGCCTTCTCGTGTCATTACTGTTTACGAAATTGAGAGGACGAAAAGCGGTTGTCCAATGCTTTAACCGCGTTGGTGGACATGGAGAGTCCACCTAGGGGAGTCGGAAAACCCTGATTCCAAACGAATGGTGGACATGGGCTCCAGTATCCTGCGGGAAAAAATGGCGTATGAACCAATTATTGGTCACCGGCTACCATGGGACTGCATCTCCTTACGATGCTCCACTGCCTTGTGGGTTAGACCTTCAGATCGAAGGCTCGGGGAGTGGCCCTCTAAGAGAACCACCTGCTTCGGTTTGGGCACCCGGACAGTATCACAGCCCTCACACATATCGAATGAGATTTGTGTGGCGCATATATATTTGGTGCCTCCTTGTACCAATATCTTTGTGTTAAAATAAAATAAAACTTCACTGTTACTTACCCGATGATCCCAGCAGATGCGAGCAATATTTTTAAGGCATCTGTCGTCAAATACTAGTAGCTTACAAGTATCTTCGAATCTTAATGGCCATGTTTTGCAGCCGTAAAGTAAAACAGAACTAACTGCTGCACAGTATACTCGTCCCTTAATAGATAGGCGGATATCTCGCCTTCGTTTTCAGAACTACATAAGTGTGACCTCACTTGTTTCTGGAACCAAACAGGACCATGTCATCTGCGTATTCTAAATCGACAAGTGGACCTGCTGGAAGGAGATCAATACCCAGGAATTCAGTAGACGAGAATGATATGGAAATATCATATGTAGGTTTATGATAAAGTTAAACAAAAATAGAGAAAGTGGACAGCCTTGACAGACACCACTTGAGGTTGCAAAAGTAGATGACAGTTCGCCATAAGCTCTGACTCGACTAGTAGTGTTCGAGTAAAGAGCCTTCACAAGGTTTATGTACTTCTGAGGTACACCTTTCAATGACAGACACTGCCACAGAATCTCGCGGTCTACCGAGTCAAATGCTGCTTTTAAGTCAAGAAAGACCACCATTGTCGGACGCCGATAAGTATGCCTATGTTCTAGAACCTGACGAATGGTGAATATGTGGTCGATGCAGCCACGACCAGGTTTGAAGCCAGCTTGATTCTCTCGTGTTTGCAGTTCACGAGTCTTAGTTAAGCGTCTGATAATTATCGAGGCTAGTGTTTTAGATGCTATGTTAGTTAAAGTCATCCCTCTATGGCTGTCACAGGATGATTTTGACCCTCTCTTTTATATTGGGACGATAAGTGATTGTGACCAGTCGGATGGGATAACGTCCAGCTCCCAGATCTTAGCTAATATATTGGTTAGCCTTATCGCTAAAATTGGACCACCATCCTTAAAGACCTCTGGAGCCAATCCATCTGTACCAGCTGCTCTTCTTTGTTTCAGATTAACTATAGCCTTTTGAACTTCTGCTAGATTTGGGGGACCTACTTCAATGTTCCGTTCTCACTGTCTGGGAATGGAGGGTAGTTGTAGAGTAGCTGAAGGCCAGCTGAACTGTTCTCTGAAATGTTCCGCCCATCGTTCTAAACGTCTGGACTGAGAGCAGATGAGGGTGTCGTCTTTTTTCGAAATAGTCTGACTTACACTTGGCTTATTAATTCCAGTTTCTTTTATTAGTCTGTAGAGCTGTCTTGTGTTCCCTATAGCCGCCGCCTTTTCCATCTCTTTTGCTTTCGTTGCCCACCACTGCTCACGGTCGTTCCTTAGACTTTTGGTGAACCGAGATCTGATTTGTTTACGCTCTTCATCATGTTCAAAGCCTGGTGGGATGAGTCTATGAGAATCCATCCGTGCAATAGACTTAGTAAAAATTCATTGGTTTTTCGTAACCCTTTGGTTTAAATCACTAATAGATGTCACTGCTGTTTCCACAGCTGCTTATATATATTTCCATACTTGTTGAGACCTTACCGCCGGAGATGGATAACCGTGGGATAAGGCAAGGTGTGCATTTTTAGGGTCGACCTTTTCTAGCCCCACTACTCCTTGTGGGAAGGCAGCATTGCTGTCATGCTGGTTGTTTGAAGGAAACATCTTACTGTTGTCACACCTCTGTACAGTCACCAGGACAACTTCGCCTACGAACCTTGGGTTTGTTGCTTTTAGTCTTATCGTTCGTCAACCGACCTGTCTGGCATGGTAGGACCTTGAGGAACGGTTGTTCCAGCCAGTATAACTCGGTTGCTTCGTCACGATAGGCAAATCCTACCACCACATCAAGGTAGCAACAACGGTCGAGCATCAAGACTACTGTTTTCACTTTAATTGAATTAATTGCAGTCAAAGTATTTAAAATTGTATCGTTCTTCACAAGGATTTTCCTGCACTATTACTCTCTTTGAGTACGACAGTTTGTCTGGCTACTGGACTTTTACACTCAACGGTTCACAGTATTTTTCTTTTTTTTTAAACCCAACTTTTGTATCGTAAGTTTTTGTTTATGCATATTTTCATTTCCAACTTGTCTGAAAAATCTTGAGTGATGACTGAACAGTGTAAAAAAGCAATTATCAACGCCCGGATTATCGTTGCCCTGTGGAAATTGCTATATAGTGTGATGAGTGCAAAGGACACCACGAAGCTTGCACTTAATTAACTTCTGTAAATTACAAGGTGTAGCAGACTTGAATGCGTGTAGTTATGCCAGCAACGCTGCTAAGATCGAGCGAGTTTGGTCATCGTAGGGCTCTGGACATGTTCATTGACCTTAAGTTACTATACCGAATACGCACTAGGTGAATGATGTAATATCAGTGATAATGAAGGAGACTGATATTTGGAATATGTTTCGAAAATATAGTGGGAAGGTATATTTAAAGGAATATTATTATTCAAGATAGATAGTGAATGGATGTGCGCTAATGGGACTGAATTCAAGCCATATCGCCTCTCAGACCCTAACTAGATTGCCTGCATCTACTAATCAATGTAATCATTGACTGATGCTATGCATGTCCTAACCACATCGGTTCGTGAAAATCACAGCAGGATCGCCACTGGTTCCTATTCCGATACATGTCTGACATCCTCTCAAACCGCTATCTTGCACTATCTATGGGACTAAAACCGGAGGTCTGTGAAGGACGGGGGAATCCTGTTTTGTGAGTCAATCTTTCTCGGGTTTTGAACAACTTCCGAAGTATGTGGGAAGCCAATAGTTTGTACGTGATTGGTAGGTGTGGACTACCTGGTTGGGATCCGTGAGATGATAGCAACCGATGGTTAGAGACCTTAAATGACATGGCTCAAATTCGTTTGGAATGGCGCCGGTACATCAACTCTTTGTGTTCTCCTAGATCCTAATCTTCTGAATTCTTCATGTCCCTTTTTTCCTCTTTCCAAATTTATTTCACTGGATTATACTCCTTGAATAACATCTTCATACCCTAATGTTTCCGATTACTGTTTATACTCTTACTACGTCTACCACTATGGGATTTTAATCGACAACTGCATCTCTGTGCTAATGTGGTATGGTAACTCGAACTGAGGTACGTTCTTACGAAGTTCTACGTTGTTACTGACTGATTGACTGGACGCAATTAGAAGTAGACTTACTCTTGATAGTTGGTGTATAGGTGAGGCAAATCCTTTTGTAAG